AAAAAAGATGACCGGTAAGGGGATCTTAACCCTTGACTTGGTGTTGTCAGCACCACGCTCAGCCAGTGAGCGAACCGGCCATCCCTATGTGGGATCTGAACCCGGGGCCTTGGTGTTATTAGCACCGCACTCTACCGAGTGAGCCACGGGCCGGCCCCTCTAGCTCTTGCTATTATATCTAAAGTGTGATTTCTTGTTTGAATCGAGCAGTTGAAGAGGAATACTCCTAATTATTTTTTTCTTTCTTGAGGTTCATAAATACCATATCCTCATGTCATTAATTTTAATTCTGTTAATACATATCTAACTGGTCTTTACTTGGCAAAATTTAGTAGATCCTTAGTTTTGGTCCCCTAGAGCTTAGCTGATAGGAAACTATTCCCAGCATGACTCCCTGCTCTTATTTACACGCAATACATTGTCTTTCACTAAATAGCTGTCAGTTGATTGCATATTAGTGAAACTGCTAAGCATTTAAGCATTCCAGTAATAAAAATAGCCACCTTTTTTACATTACACCTAATAAATATCTTATTTTGATAATGCATTAAAAAGTATTTGGACTTAATGATCGTTATTTAAAATCTACCTACACTAAAAATGTTAGATTAAAAAAAATCTTTGGTTGTCGGGCCTCCCTGAGCCAGAGGCCGACAAAACCGAGCGGGAAGAGACCCCGGTNATAAGCTTTTCCAGTTCTCTTCCATCAGAAATGGAGTGTGTTGTCCAGCTTGAAGAAGCCATTACAATAGCTCCTGTTCGTAAGGCTGAATTTTTACTTTCCCAAACTCTTGCCCCTTACTGCCTCATCATTGTATCACCCTCTTTCAGTCTTTTGGCCACCACTCTTATTAAGGATCTGTGGTGAGGAATAAAGCTTCAAGCAGAACCTCTCCATTTTTTAAAGGTGGGAGCTCAGTTATCTTTAGCTCAAAGTTACTATTAGTAGGGTTGTCTACAAAGTGATTTTTCAGGGTCCAGCTCTTAGCATGAACCATCTTGAAGCTCAAGAGTCTGCAAGTTCCAGTACTAGAGAAGGTGGCAAGGATTGCCTTTATCCATAAATTTTATCATCTGTATAATAGTCCACGAAATAGATGTAACATAATTTATTTAAATATTTCCCTATAGTTGGACATTTTGTAGTTTTTAAAACAGTTTTTACTAAATAGTGCTGCAACTAACATTTTCATCAATGGAAGTGTCTCTTCCTGTCCCTGCCTCCTGGAGCAATAGAAGTAGGTATACTGAGACTAGGTGTATAAAAATTTATATGATTCTTGATACATACTGCTTTTCAAAAGGATTATATAATTTATAGTGTTATTGATGACAAATGAGAGTGGCTTCATCTTTATGAGTTTTTCTAGCTCGTATTAGTGACTTCTGTTTTTTTGTTCTGGGTTTCTTTCAGATTCTTGTCTTTTACTTTCTGCGATGTCTCCTGGCTTTTGTGAGCTGTATTTGTGAACTTTACTTTTACAAGTGAGTATAAAAGCTTTGCTTCTAAAAGTGCTATGAGGAAGCCCAGTGTAGCATAGATTATCTCTCTGATAGTCTAGGCAGGGATTAGAAATAGAAAAAAAACACTTTTCAGGCTGGCTGGTTGCTCAGTTGGTGTTATAACCAGGGTGGTGTTATAACACCAAGGCCAAGTGTTCAGATCCCTATGTTGACTAGCTGCCAAAAAAAAAAAAAAAAAAAAA